TGATTGAGCTTGACTGAGAAAGTCACATCACAAATGTACAGCCAATAAATCTGCAGCAACTGCAGGATTCTAGGTTTAATGGTGGAGAACTGGTAAATAGATTATTTCCTGGAAAATCTCTGGCAAACAGCCAGAAATGTGCCTTTGTCTTGTTGCTGACCGTGTTCCTTTATGACCAGACTCAGTAGGATTTTATGTATTCATTAGCAAAAATAAGAAATAAGAACAGAAACGATTAAAACAAATAGGCCTGCCTATTTTAATTTTTTTTCCCAAAATGACCAAGTAGAAGATGAAACATGTTATGAATTTCTGCTCCTCTCCCCACATTAAATTAAACCACACATTCCCATCATTCAGAGCTCAACTATTTCACACATCAACTAAAACAATAACCTTTCGAGACACCCATCCTATACAACATATTTACCAATCTATTCTACCATTTGGTTGTTCTCATACATTGGTTTTAAAATATCCTTCTCTTAAATTATAGCCCCTCTCTCTGTCACACAACATTTTTGTAATATTTGAACGTAAATTGTACATGTTTAGATTTTACAAGGTGCCAGAATTTCAGTACATTCCATTTAAAAAAATGAAAGATTTTTATGTTTCCAGTGTAGCATTCTGATTGCTTTACTACTTTAATTGCAGAGTAATACACACCACGTCACAAAGTTCAAATTACACTGCACACATCTGCAGAAACTGTGATTCTAAGATGTCAATTTCAAATAAAGTTTCAGATATTTCCAACATCTTGAATCTTTGGAGCAATGAATTGGAGAAATTTTGAAGACAAGATGTACCTCATAAAATGTCCAATGAGCTTATTTTATTATTATAATAAAACCTACACTGATTTCTAACAACACTAGTAACTATTAATCTCGTCTCATCTTGTTCTGCGTATCATTTATCGTTTCTTGAGCTGGATGTATTAATACACGCCATCTTTTTTGTAATTTAAGAGTCAGATAGTCCACTGTATTGTTCAGTTCATTGTAGAAAACCTGTATTTCAGCTGCTTTTACAGAAAAATGCTGTAAAATATTACTGTTTGCCAGTCTGTCTACACCAGATACTCAGATTCAAGCTCACTTTAACAGTTTTCTTTCTTCCTGTCATTCAATAGGAGCCGCTTTCTTTGTTTGCACTGTAATGGGATGGGAGAAGATTTTTTTTCATAAATCAGCATGTCCTTGCTGACTGGACTGTGGCCATATCTATGACTAAGAGATGAAATGAAGTATGGTGGAAGAATCTCAAGTCTTTCTTCAGGGTCTAAAGCTTGTTTCACCCACTCAGCGGGAGCTGCTTCATGTATACAAAGTTTATTTACGCATCTCTTGAGAAGATGGGCGAACACCATGTATTTTCCTTTCCCTCACAATAATCTGTGCTGCAGTGGAAAGCCAAGACTAAGGCTCAAAACTTCCACCATAATCAGGCTGTAAAACTTCTCAAAGTTTTGCAGCAAAGTGTTAATGGTGTCTACAGCATGAATCGGCAGGTTGGCAGACTAGAAGGTTTGAGAGAGGAAGCTGAGACAGTCTGGCGGCTGCCTGAGTTCGTTGTCATTCTGAACACAGGGCTGAAAGTGAGCTGGTGTCTGCTGGAGACAGCAGGAAACCACAGAGCCGACAGAGAGCAATAGAAAGGACAGAGGACAAGGTAAGGAGTTGGTTGAAAGGGAATACAGACAAGCAAGAGGCATAGGGGTGATTGAGAAAGGCAACTGACAGAATGAGCCTGCCACGAGAACAGGAGAGGCTGGCTTAGTGGTGTGTTGATGAAGCAAAGCCCAAAAAAGCTCAAGAATACCAATTGGATGGACCGTGTCTGGGTGTTTGGAAAGGTGATGGGGGGGTGGTAACAAGCCTTAGCAAGGCAAATAATCACTCTGACACTTGTTGCATATCAGAGAAGTGGTACAAATAAGCTAAGACACTTGTAATCTTTTTTACAATCACTTCAAATGGACAGATCAATTATATTGGCAGGCTAACTCCATGAAAATAAACTAAGATGTCATTAAAACATTTCAAAAATACATCTGTTGACTACAGTGATGAAAAATGCTTGATGTTACTCACCAATCATTAATGAGAGTAGTTTCTGGACCTTGGAGCTTACACCCCCAACTCTGTACAGACCTTGGTCATTAATGCCTATCGAGTAACAAAGACACAAACAATAAAAAGATGCAGAAACAAATCTTTTGTCATTAGGAGATTTAAACAAGTTCACTGAAACAAAAAGTGAATCAGAAAAACTATCTCAAACAGATGAATTACATAATTTGTACAAGGCAAGCTGCCTGCAGCACCTGCTCACTTCATGTTCTCTAATAGTTGGAGAAAGTCTGCCCCCTTGTGTACAAACAGGCACACTACACAGACAACTAATTATCAAACAGACACGCTGCACAGACAACTACTGTAATTATGAATCACAAAAGTGCTTTTATTCAGGAAATAAGTATGGCACATAAAATGATTTAAATGCAATGAATACATAAAAAACATTGACTTAGAATTATTTAAGAAAAACCCATAAATGAATAACAAGTGGAAATAATTAAAGGAAACTTTAATGCAGGACATGTTTGATTAATGTAATGGACCATCAAAGTAAGTTGGTGAGATTAAAATGTTAAAGACAAAGTAACCAATCACATGTTGGGGTCTATTTGACTTTTTAGATTGTCAAATGCTGGAACCTAACTACTGACATTTACATAAACACTTATAATATTTATCTAAATGCATTTATTAAGATGTTAGTTGAATTGTTTTCTGATAAATCATTTGCTGGATAATGTTACTTTTGCCCTTGATAACTAAAGCAGATTTTCATGGATAAATGTATCCAGCTGAAGGCCTTTAAACCACTGGTGTCAAACTCCAGTCCTCGAAGGCTGACATGCTGCAACTTTTAGATGCATCTCTGTCGACACTTAAATCTCATAATTGGGTCATAAGCAGGACTTGGACATGAAAAGAATGCAGGACACAAGTCCTTTTGGACAGGAATTTGACACCCTTGTCCTAAAGTAAAGATTATACATATTTTGAACTCACTTCTCGTTTCTATTGCAGTGATAGATTTCTTCACAAAACTTAAACCCATGTCATCCAGCTGGGCATCGACTACAAGTTGGGGAAAAGAAAAGTTTAAGAATATTTTTTCAGTATACTGTTAAAGCCTTCAGACCTTGTGCTGCTAGAAACTTACTTCCTCTTTCCTTAGAGAGAGTTCTTCCAAGACAGCAACCAATCTGAAAAAGAAAAACACTTTCTTTAATAGAAAAAAAAAAACTAACTGAAGCTTCTTTCAGTAAAGTGGACATACGTTATATATAAATTCACACAAATCACACAGATTGATACGTATTAAGTGTTGTTTGTGTCTTAAGGTATTTCATCATGGGTTTTTTTTGTGTAAGGTTTGTAAAAGTTTGATTTTAATGTAATGTTTGTTGTGTGGACCCCAAGAAGAATAGTCTCTATTATGGTAGAGACTAATGGAGAATCTTAAATAAAGAAACAAATAAATCTGAAGTTATTTTAAAATCGTCCTTAAATAGTAGGATCATTTTAAAAGTTAAATGTCCATCCAAATGGACATTTAATTTGATTTTTAAAAAATGTTTTTAATGAGTATAAACTCTGGCTTTCTTGAACTGCTTCCAAAAAACACATTTTTTTCCCTTCATTTAAATGCTGTAGGGGTGTAGAAATTAGCTAAATGAAAAAATAATGTTTTTAAATGAAAAATGCATCACATATGTGTCTAGTAAGTCAACCACAAAAGTCTGTTCTAAAACGTGGTGTGTGTGATGCATATGATAACACCATGAGGTTGACTCACAGGTTCCTTCCCTCCCATGGCGTGCATCCAAAGCTTGTGGTCATCCTCTGACAGCGCCTGCACAGTTAGCACCGTCCCAGGCCTGTGAGAGAGGCATGCCACGTTAGCATCAGACAAAGCCTTTGAGTTACTGTACAGCAAGACACCGAGCTATTTAAGTGTCAGGATGAAACATTCAGGGTGCTTAGCATTATGCATGCCAAAAATACACACTTCCTGCCAAGGACACATTCCCCTTGGATTTACTGTAACTACAAACATAAGCCTTCTCAGACTCTCCAACTGGTTTATGACATCCATAATCATGTAAGGGCAGATGGATATCAAATTATTTGTGACAGTCAGAATGGATGCGCACACTCAAATTTCCATTCTAAATAAGGGGCATTGCTCATCTATTAATACTGCTGAAAAGAGGCTGGGCACAATTAAGTTGTTTGACTGAATGGGTGTCTGTTACTGCAGGGGTGAGAAGTCCTGCTATTGCATGCTCTGCAGTCCAAGATGAAATGTAGGTGAAAAGGGACAAAAACGTTGATGTGGTTTTACTGTGACCTATGAGCATGTCACTGAAGGCACGCAGGAGGAAATAGCTACCAAAGCAGTTGTGTGGCTTATCTGATAAAGTGATGAAAAAAAAACAAAAACAAGTTTCATTCATTCAACTCTCAATATCAAAACAAGATGAACTGGCTCTGTCTCTCTCAGTTTAAGGGGCTGGGTTATCTCTGTATGTAGTTACATATAACTATTTTTTTCCTCTTAGTGTTTATTCAATCAGCACATCTCTTAGTGTTCTGATTGGATGTAGTTCCTTGCTTGAGGGGGTATCGGCTGAGACAACGCTGCCAACAACCAAACATTCTCTCTCTCCTGCTATCAACTTTTTACTTTTCTTTAACTTAAGTGGTCCCACATCAGTTCTTTCTTTTTTGTGAATATGCTCCGACTTAAAGTCAAATTCTGCTGGATGTTTCTTCCTGTTAAAGGGAGTCTAACCTCTCCACTGTTGCCACATGCATGCTTGGTATGAGGGATTTCTGCATAGTCAACAACACGATGCAAACAATGATCTATTGTTGTTACATGCTTGTCCAGGAGGAGGGAATGCTACAAATAAATAGATGTGTCCCCATTAGAAAATGTTTGCAAAACTTTGCGATTTTCTGCTTACGTCGAAAAAACAATTTTACGATTGCTGTGTTTTCCAGGTCATCAAATAAGAACCACAATTAAAATCATACATGAATACATTTACTCACACGGTAAGTCATCAAGAGATGTTCCCATAGCATTTTTGTGTAATACACCAGTACACCTTATTCTAGTGCAAAAAATAACTTTTTATTGAAAACATGAGTTTTTTTTTTAAGTTAGCGTGTTTCCATTAGTTCCAATTTGCTCGATTTCATAGATAATGGAAACACAGTTACAGATTCCATGCAGTGTTCTTGGTTTCCTGAGATAGAAAACTCTTGTTTTGCAAAGTGCCTTGAGACGACTCATGGCATTATAAAAATAAACTGAATTGAAATCTTACCTGTCTGTTATGTCCAGCTCCAGGCAGAATCTCCTGTCCAACATGTCTGTTGTTTTGCGAACGCAGGATTTGAGTGTGACAGACTCCGTCTCACCCTAAAATGAGTTTATTACTTACACTCTGAAAGGTTTTCATAAAAAAATAATAATAATAAAAATACCTACAATGCTAAAGCAATAGCTTAGATTTCTAAAAAGTCAGCACTGCATACTGTGACTACTCACAATCTTTCCACCTGATCTGTGGTCAAAAGTCACCATGTGCAGAATCTTCTGCTCTTTGACAAAAGTGCAGTAGCGTTTGACCCAGCTTGAACCAAAGGGGGGTGGTCCTGAACAAATTATACAACACAGGAAAATTAAATGTGAAAGGTGTCTTTCATAATATTTTTAGTTGATTTTCGTGAGACAAATTTTGACCTGTTGGGGTTGATTGTTATATAATAGCTCGGGTAATAAGTCTTTTTCACAACAGTTATGACAAAGATAAAAATAAATCTACATGGAATACATTGCATGAACACGGCATCTACACGGTGAAGCATACTGATGTCAGTATCATGCTGCGGGAAAGCTTCTTTTCAGCAGGAAAAAAATTATGCTGTTCACAGATGCCTTCAATCAACTCTATCTGAGAATGAGTGATTTTGCTAAAACATAAAGCTGGCTAAACAAAGAGCTGACTCTCGGGGGCTGAATACAAATGCACGCCACACTTTTCAGTTCAGCTCCACTTCACAGTTGATGATTGAGTGTTAAGTCAATTAAAATAAACTGACATTTGTGGCTGTGATGTGAAAAAAAAATATCTAAAAGTAAATCTGACTGAACAGAAATACTTTTGCAAGTCACTTTATTTCCAAATAGGTTTTTTCTAAGTTTCTGCTTATTCATATGACCTTACGTTTTTCCTGCATATAGAGGTATCCTTCAAAACTGATGGGGCTGGTCTGTCTGTATTCTTGTGGTGTGTCTCTAATCCGCTTCATCAGCTCGTGCACCTCTGACCGCGTGCCCTCGAATCGACTCCTTGTCTGGGTGGGAGAGGAAGCAAATACACACCCCAGGAAGTGAGTGTAGGATGACCTTCCTAATAGAAGGGCTATGCATTTCAAAACAAGCATGGATTTTTCTGAAAACACTGTGAACTTGATCAAATTTGCCACAAAACACAAAAACAAGCAATTAGATCTTCAATAAAAAACAAAAAAGGAAGGACTTTTATAATATACATGTTCTTTCCTTTATAAAAGGAATCCCAGATAAATAAAATCATTTATTTATCTGGGATAGTTTTTTTTTCTTACATTCTGAATATTGATCTGCAGCTCTGTTTTATAATGGTCAAAGTCCTTGGCAAGTTCATATCCCTGGTGATAAAAGGTGAATACAGCCTGAAAGAATGCCAGCATCTACAAAAAATGAAACAAATATGAGTTAGTAAAGTCTCCCACTATTCTGTAACAAATATAACAATTTAACTGTAGGAGACCAACCAATTTGAAAAATAAACTACATTTACAATCTCACACTTTACTTCATATAAATTCATGAGATCGGATGTATCCATCAGGTCAGAAAGAGTTTTCAGTGATTAATGTGTGTCAGTTCCTTCTGAAAGCGTTTTTTCTACCAAACTGCAGCGGTAGAACACTTTTTTGCATTAGGGTCCTAAATCTGAGTAATAATTTAAGTTGGGTGGCTTTGTTACATACATATGTCTGTGATGTGTTGAAAAATGAACTTTGTTTTATGACATGTTGACTTTCTATCCGTAATTTAAGTTTTTCTAAGTCTCAACTTGGGGACAAACTTAAAACGTTAATATTATTTACAAGGCTTAAAAAGACTTGAGTTCAACCTAACTAATCATTTTCATTATGACTGATCAGTTATTAGTGGCAGAGCATTAATTTGTTGTTTGTTTAACCCAACTGTCTAAATATGGCTAAAAAAATTAAACTAGATTGATGTTGGATCGATGTTTTGATGGATCACATCAGCTAAACAGTTTCAGTTTCTGGTTCTCCAGGTTAGGAATCACTGATATGCTAATCAAAACTGCATGAGTTTGGTTAGCCACTCACAGGTTCCACACATTCAAACTTCTTCCTCTCCTGGATCTCCTGCAGCTTGCACACATATTCAAGTGATTCCTCCTGAAAGTGCTGCCTCATGAGTTCCACCTGGCAGTCTGCCTGGAGAGGTGGAGAACACACACCATGATAATTACAGACATGTGGAGGAAAGGAAGAAACACACGCTTGCTGCTTGGAGAACTGAACGTCTTCTTTTGCCCTCAAAGTATGGGATTGAATTATTCCTCAACACATTTGCAGTGGGTAAATCTACTGCTGTCAGTAAACTTCACATAAAAATAACTTTGGCAAACAGGTCTGCCTCAGTGCACTGCCTCAGACTCCTAATTTGCAAAGCAAAATCAGAGATGCACGCACACAGGCATCTAACAGGAAAGACAGAAGGACGTCTAGGAAGCTCAAATTAAGGAGTGCTTTGCCAAGGACAGGACAGGCTCCAGTAGTCAGTGTCAAAGTGAACTTTAAAGTTAAAAAAAAAATGCCGGAAAGATGAAATGAACGGGAAACTGGAAATGTGGAAAACGCCTTAAAATGTAGCCGTTGTGTATAGTCGCAAAATCTTATTCATATTTCCCAAACTATGTTTTGTATCCATTTCTTTTTTTTTCCCTGAACACACCATTATGCCATTAAAAATGTTGCAAAGCACAAACAAAATGGGTAAAATTATAATTATTTACAATTTTGATCCTGGGCAACCAATGTAATAACTGTAATTGTGTGTGTTTTGCAGGAATACAAACAAGAGTGAGATTAAGAGCAAGTTAGGGGCCTGGTAGGGATCTATTATAACCACAAGTAAAAATTACACAGACCTCAGTTTTAATCCACCGTTTCCTGACTGGGAACTGGAAACCATGACTCTTGTCAATGAAAAGGATTTTAAAATAAACAACAGTGCACTACAATGAGAAACGGGGCAGAAATAGGCTTACTGACAACTTCTGAGCTACAGCAAGAAATAAAATATGCCGATAGTTAAATATAATTTGCAAAATATCAATTAGTACATTAAAAATCCATAAATACTTGAAACCCCCTCTGATCTGATATTAAACAACTGCCTACTAATAGTTTAAACAAAGTATACCTTGATACACATTGGATACTGTACAACAGAAGCTAACCTCTACAGTCTTCTTGAACACAGCCAATCAGTGCCAAGGAAAATCAATACTGCTCATAGATTGGCTGCTTTGCAAACACCAGCCAATAGCATATCAGGAAGAATGGGGCCTAGGCAGTTCAGCTTTCCAAGCTGCATTTTCTTTAGAATATTTTGGAGTTACAATCAACAAATCCACAATTACGAACCACGAATTATCCACACACGAGCTGAACGTTCACATGCTGGAGTCAATGACATCATCACTGTTCTGTAAGTTGATTATCTTGAATGTCATGAATGAAGTATTGGTACAGTTAGGACTGTTTATAACGTGTGACGGAAGTTGCTGTTGGTAGCCCTGGATCAGAACAGAACAGGCTGCCGAAGTAATGTTCACAAGTTCAAGCCTCCGTTCTGGCTGGCCAACACAAACAACATGGCATTAACGACGGACAAAAACAAGATGTCAGAAGGGTTACATAAAACGCTGCTGGTTTCCAAGCAGTTCATAATAATCAACTAAAGGTTGTATAGCAACGACTGATCCAGAAACTGCAGAAAGCAGCAGTAGCCCCAAGTCCAACATGTCAGTGAAAACCAAACACAGTAAACAAGCAAGTGTAACAAAAAACCTAACTAGAAAGATTTTTCTTTTTTTGTGTGTTATGTCCTTGGAAAGATAAATACCTCTTGCAGCTGAGGCTCCTTCTTCTTTGCCGACAAATTTAAAAGCTTCTCCAGGGAGCTGTAGTACTTTTCTGTTTCTTTTTCATACCTTTTTCTTTCCGCCTTGCAGAAAAAAACAAAACAAAAAACAAAAAAGTGTGATTAGTTTCAGAAAAAACAATATTCAAAAGAATTAAGCTGGTCTCTATTTTTAATCATCAATTATAGCTGGCAAACAATCTAAAAGGTTATCATTAAGATTCAAATAGATCCACTAAAATTAAGAAGAAATTAGGAGAAAAAGCAATGAAACATCATACATTACCCTCACGTTACCGAGCTGCTCCTTCCTGAACTTCTCGAGGGGTTTCATTAAAGTTTCTGTGATGTTTCGCATCTGTAGCGAGAACAGATATTATTTTATCTCAATAAAATATAATTACTTTCTAGAACATCCAGTAACTCAAACACTGGAAACCAAATAATCCTTTTGGTATACACAGTACAAAGATTTAAAAGTAGGAATTTAAGTGATAGAACAACAAATGATAGACCAAATAATGGTGCTTTTCAACATTTTATATAAATATCCATCATCTACAAATTTGCCAATCAGTGCCAAGGAAAATGAATGCCGCACCAGGATTGGCTGCCTTGCAAACGCCAGTCATTAGGATGCCAACTGTGACTAGTCAGGGGTTCATTGTATCTGATTATTGCTCGTCTCACCCAGCTTGTCAGTTTAGAGTTGTGTCCTTCATTGTTGGAGGATGGACTGATCAGAGCTCTGGGAGATCTATTCAAAGTTCAGGGTTTGTGTTTTAGAACAAAACCTGGCTTTAAACCTTTTCAAAGGTGCATTTCTAGACTTGTTTGCTGTGATTCCTGTGTCTTCACAATTCTGTTCTGGGGTTAATCTACAAATCTACATCCCACTTTTCAAATGTTCATCTGCAAATTAAAGTTTGAAATCCATCCTGCTTTCTGTTGGTTTCAGTGTAAGAAAAAATATGAAATGATGAAAAGGTATCAAGTCATTTGCAAGGCACTGCACCAACAGGCCTGTCGCAATAATCAATAAATCATTAATCGCTTGATAAATTAAAACAAGCTCAATAATTTCCATTTGAATGATTTATTGTTCTCTTTTCTCTCTTTCTAACAAAAACTAGATGACAGAAGTCTTCTAGTTTTTTCAAGTAGTCCTTTTCTGAAGGACAATTTTGTTTACAGACATCAGTTTCCATTTTATTTGTTGTTTCTGTTTTGTTGTATTTTAGATATTTAAGATGTCTTTCAGTTTCAGTGTTAAATGTTCATTAGAATTTAAACTTTATTTATCTTTGAAAATGTGTTCTTGGTTTACTATTCCATTACCTTTACATTACTTGAAAATGATCTCAAAACAACAATGTTATAGATTTATTGCAATAACCGCTGGCGCAATAAAATGTCGTTATTGTAACAGGCCTACACTGTACTAACTCAATTACTTATGTTGTATATTTGCATTTTGAATTTATTTACAACTAAACTTGTAAATAAAAATGCATGCTTTTATGGCTGTTTATGTAAAGTACTAAATTCTACATAAACATGAACAGAGAGCTTGTGATGCAACCAGTTGTTAATGTTTTAGTCGTTTCTGCTGCGCTGGCTGCAAGGCATGTCTGTACATGCATACTGCTTCCTCTGTTTGCAGTGTGATGTCATCACTCTGTGCTGAGCAGTGCTTACCGCTGCGGTCTATGCTTGGCACAACCATCATATCAGTCAGCCACTGATGACAGGTTCTCACCTTTACCTCAGACACTACAGACAGACATTACCTGGAAAACTGACTTTTACACAAAATCTCAGGCACTGTGTAAAGCGTGCAAGTATCACTAACTTCAACTATCAAATATCACTAAACAAAAGTCTTCAAATGGCTCCAAAGTACTTCTGCTTCTTAACTACCTGAGGTGTGATTTCAGTAGCTCTTAAAATACCTGACTTTTAACACCGCTACCTTAGTCACATGTTAGTTTTATGAGTAAGGAGTTGCAGAGCCGTGGACTTGCTCCCAGTTGCTCCTTATGAGATTTGTCTTATGTAAACCTATGATGTTTATAATGTCCAACTGCGATGCAGTCAACTGTGCAGCCACTCCCAGGCAGCTGATCCAGAAACATGAAGAAAAACTGTTCAAACATTAGCAATAATAGAACTGGTTGACTGTGTCACCTGAATGATGTGGGTATGAGAAATACTCGAAATAAATATCTTCTGAGCGTGTATCAAAGCTTTTTGCGGTTATTGAATAGCAAAAGGATTCTCATCATTCAACAGAAGAGATGAGATACAAATGCATTTGCATTCAGGCATGAACTACAATCAATTCCTACATATTATTGATATGTATACAGGTTAAATGTGGTAAATGTTAAAGGAAGTATGAATATATACATGTGTTTTTCCATCTAAATATAATATAGCTTCTTAAAAATAAAATATATAATTTTAAGAAACAGCAATTTAGGTAAATTCTAACATGCCATAATTATCAGAAATAGTTAATTATTCTCTAAATTGACAAGTGAACTGTCCAGGTGGGTAAACATGAGTAATATTTTAAATTTTAAAAGAAAAAACTCACAGAAAACATGTATGACTTAAGAAAATATATAAGATAAAAAGCAACATATTTCAGAATCAGATGGATATCAAAAATATATGGACTTTAAATGTTAAACTGCACTGAAGATAAATATTTTATGGTGAAGGTGGGCCAATATACCGAGCAGCTGGTAAATTATTCCAGTACTCTGCCTTTTTTTTTCTTTTTTTTTATTGCAGCCACTCGACTCGCCTTGGTACACTCAACCAATAAACCAGTGAGGTGCATCTGGACAAATGGTTAACTCTATAAAGGTACACCAAAGTTTTAAGTAGTTCCAGTTTTAAATTTGTTATATGTGTTCCAATCCTTCAGTTTAAAGTTCTGAGGTAACATTACTTTACAAATCCAGCCTAATTAAGTAGGGATGCACAAATCCACTGTTTTTGTTTAGTATTGGCCAATACAGATCCAATAAAGAAAAACATTGCTGAATTGACTTAAAACGTTCCTTTTTTCCCCCCTTTTTTAAAACTTGTTTCTGAATACAGACATAGTTGTACTGAATTAGAAATTCATCTGATAATGCTGGACCAGTTCAGCACACTTAAATACACCAATAGTTTCACAAGCTTAGTCCAACTTAAAAAGAAAACACAACTTTAATTTGTTCATTCAGTGCAATTAGGATTGTAAATGTTAATGTAAAATACATAAAGAAACTGGCAAAAATAGGTTAACTACTTTAGCCAAATATGTAAAAATAAAACTACAACTTTGCTGAGCCAAGTCCAATTCACACAAAACACTGAAATAATTACATGTGGGCAGTTAAGAAATAATTGCAAAACATTGTGTGCATCTGGTCTCAAACCCACACTTATTTTTCCCAGGGTTGTAAATAGAGTTAAAACCTTCTCACCATCAGCTCTCTTTGTTCCTCTAGATTTTTCAAGAACATGGAAAACTCTTGCAAAGACTCATCTATAGAAGCAAAAAAAAAAAACTATAATTAGAATCACTTATTCATCCCGTCTGTCTCTTTCTCAAATACATCTCAGCTGTGCTACGAGCATCAATCAGTTTCACAAAATATTATTGAACATCTGCTGCAAATGAGGTTTCCAGGGAAGAATCTAAATTATTTAAGAGTTTGCAATAAAAAAACAGCATAACTAGTTAAATACAGTTAAATTACAAACATTTTATCTTAATTTAGCATTACATCCTACTTAAAATGTCTTAAGGTCTTAAGTAAAAGAAAATCACTTGTAATATGGTGTTAAGAAATTTATATCATACTTGTTTATTTTTTATATTGCAAGCAGCAGCTAGTTGTTTTAATCTGCCTAGAAACCTGATTTAAAGTGGGGTAAAATTAAGATAAAATATCATAGCTGAAAACAACAAAAAAACAAAACAAACAAACAAAAAACTAGCCAAAAAATAAATAAAGGAAATTGCAGTGAGGGTTGAATAATTCTAGCTGTGGCTGTTCTTAATTGGCTGGTGGAAAAAGAAGAGTAAACAAACATTTGAAGTGCATTTCTATAAAGACCGTGACAAAACCAGTGGTTAGTTCTGTCATCACACGAGAAGGGAGAAACCACTCTCACCAATGCATTTCTCATCATCGGTTTTTGCATCGCCGATGTACTCAAACTGAAACTCTCCCAGGCACTGGGCAAACTTTCGCTGAGCCATCCCGAGCTCTGAAAGGTAGTTGCAAACAGAACAAAGAAAAAAATAATAATTACAAAATATTTTAATAACTGCAAGTTTATATAAAAAAAGTTACATTCACAGTTATAAGAACATACAACAGTACCTAAACTAAATCAAATATTGTGCCAAGAGTCGATGCTAGGAAATCATTTACAGTCAAGAGATTTAATGTGTTTGAAAAGTAGGTTTGATGTGTTTGGACCACAATGCTAACATCCTGTCTGACTATATTCTGCTACATCCTGTTAAGCACACATCTATGTACAGAAGATGACACCACAAGAAAGAGCAAACTTGGTATCTGTCTGCAAGTAAAATGTTACCAAAGACAGCTGTCAACATATTTACCATGTTATGCAAATTGTACCCATAAAAGCAAAGACCTCAACTTTAGATTACCAAGTATGGCTATCCAACTCTATTACTACTGTGGTAGAGGACTTTGAGCTTAATATTACGTTTTCTGCAAAAAAAAACATATTTACCACGAATAAACATTGTATCAATTAGGATTACTGGATCTTTGTGTTATTTATTAATAATGTAAACTACATTAACCTAAAGTATTGGAGAAAGTATACAATGTCAAACTCATCAGTAAATTTTAGGGCTCAACAGATGGCCATTTTCTGGCCGATCTCCGATCTTTAAAAATCTTGACCTACTGACTCCAATCTTTGCAGATATCGATGTTTTGTGTGGGATGACTATTGTGACCAATCATCCCTCTCTCACAGCAGAGCAACAGCTGACAGTGGCCGATTTCCAGACTCTGCAGAGGCAGATAAGGCTGGTGCATAAACTTGGTTTTACGTGGACGCATTGGCCAGCCGATTTGTCAGTGCACCCATGGTACATTTTCAGCATAATTCCCAAAACCAGGATAAATCACTAAAAAATTAAGAAAATACAATCTCACATCTTCTCAGAACTCCAGCCAAACATATATATATATATCTCAAAAAAATAAAGGGAACATTTCACTTTATTTTTGTGTGTGGCTCCAAATCCATGCCTCCATTGGTTAATAAATTTGATTTCCATTGATGATTTTTGTGTGATTTTGTTGTCAGCACATTCAACTTTGTACAGAACAAAGTATTCAATGAGAATATTTCATTCATTCAGATCCAAGATGTGTTATTTGAGTGTTCCCTTTATTTTTTTGAGCAGTATATATATATATATATATATATATATACCGTGTTTCCCCGAAAGTAAGACAGTGTCTTACTTTCTTTTATCCCCAAAAGCCCCACTATGTCTTACTTTCGGGGTATGTCTTATATTGGAAAAAAATTGACGAATTTTTTGTTTTAACCATAAAATTAAATTAATTTAAGCAGGAGGTGGTAGTGACAAGTGCAGGGGACGGCGCAGGCGTGGGCAGGAGGCGGCGTGCAGCTAGATGAGAGGTGTTTCCCCGAAAAGTAAGACATATGTCTTACTTTCGGGGTACGGCTTATATTAGCCGACCCCCCTGAAACCCCCGATACGTCTTACAATCGGGGGTGTCTTACTATCGGGGAAACACGGTAGAAATAATTGACTCCATTCTGCCCACAAAGAAGTTGGGTATGAAACAACCATACTTGATA